CTTCCATGGTCTCGCTGACATTGTTGAGCTTTTGGGAGTCTGCTTGAGTTTCTTTTAGAGCGTCTTTTAGGGTTTGGCTGTAAGCCATGATCGTCGACTGAGTGGTCCTTTCTATGGTGTTAGAAATTTCCCTGGTTTCTTTTTGTTTGGTTATTTCGGTCAGTTTCTTCTCTGTTTCTTGAGTTACCTGTTTCCTGACCAGGCAGGTGGCAGAGAAGGTCCTGTGGTCACCCTCGCAGACGACACACTTTTTGATGGTGCTGCGGCAGTCTTTGTAGAAGTGTTGATCAGATGAACACTCAGAGCATATGACCCCTTGCATGGGGCAGTTCTTGGTCATGTGGTCATTGTATTTATAGCACTTCATACATTGTTGGATGGGCGTATACTTTTCATATTCTATTTGGTGGGATGAGATGGAAGTGCCAGAGGCATAGAGCCCCTTCTCCTTCATTCTTTTTGCATCCGTTGTGTCTGCAAAGCGAACCTTGATTATATTATGGGCATACATAGGATACACCTCCACAACCTTGACATTGTTTTGCTTTTCTATTTCATCTCTTATTTCTTCTGCGTTATTTTCCACTACATCTTTGTCTAACTTCTTACAGACAAGGGTGAGCTTGGCGCCGTATTCCCGTGGGACAATGACCTCATGACCGTTAGTTTTCATTTTGTCCATGGCACCAGACTTAAGTGGTTTATCAGCATCTTCATCTGTCTCTGTGAGGATGATGCAACCATCTCTCAGATCCACAAGTCTATTTATCCTCACCCTTAGGTCACTCAATAGCTTTTTTTAGCCCTATCCAAGACCCCTGGGTCGGGGTTCCGGAGATCTTCACTCTCACTTTGGCCATGGTCAGTAACATACATGAAAATCCTACCTAATCTGTCCACCTCAGCTAAACCCCCATGGATGCAGATCCTTCTGTCCACTGTGGGCGGTAAGGAACGGGTCTAGGGATAGGGTGAACAGACAATCTGACGGGGGCCTAGCCAACCCTAACACCTAACAGTGACAGGTTATTAAAGCACTGCCGAATCCTAACAGAAAATGTTGCCACCCTTACTGTTTCGATTCAGCAGCCCTCTGAGGGTTCCCCTTGTGCTTGCCCGCAGGGTTCGCGTCGTTACCAAACAGCAGGGACTCTAGGCGAAAGGAAAGATGAGGGAAGAAGCGCAGTGTACAAGAATAATATCCATGTACAACTACAAGATAAAGCAGCCAGAGCAGACAACGTAGAAAAACAAAGGCTGACAGTCGTCACGGTCAACAATTTGAACATGAGCTAGGAGCGAAGTGCAGCCTGTCCGCTAGCTGGCCAAGGTTGGGTGCACTCTGTGTCCTGATGGTGTATTATGCTACATGTACAGATGAGGCCAAATTTCCCTCAACAGTTGGCCATATCCAGTCTCAACTTGAGGTTCATGTGTGATAGCCTGATAACTGTGAATGTTGCGTCGTGTTATATATTGAGTCAGAAAAACAAACAAAAGAAAAGCACAATTAAAACAGCTAAACTGATGCTAAACCCCCAATTTCTTATATTTACTGGACCCTAAAACTGGTGCAAGATACTAACACAAGAGTCCATTTTTCCAGCTCTGCACACACACACACACACACACACACACACCACACACACACACACACACACACACACACACACACACACACACACACACACACACACACACACACACACACACACACACACACACACACACACACACACACACACACACAATTAACAGGTATACTTTCATTATCCTAAAGGTGATGACTTCTAAGGAAGATATTAACGTTTAGATTAGATTAATTCCAACACTGTAAGCCGGTACCATCGTCTCATTCACAACCAATACTTCTTACACTTAATTTAAACCATAACAAACTATATATCCAAACGCACACGAATGAGTACATAACCAAGAATTTTTTTTTTTTTACGTTTCAGTCTGACCAAAATTGATGGAATATTTTATTTTCTCAAGCGCGACTTAAGGTAGGCGAGGACCACGTTATAGTCAGCTTTACGATGTGTCACATCTACGGGGAGCAGAAATTCTCCAGCCTTACCATATGAACCACGACCGACTCACCAACACACGATACTTCAAACATTCGACCTCCACAATATTCATGACTTTCAATATTCATAAACCGCAATACTCGACACCAAGAATTTCAACTCTCGAACCACCCAAATTTTAAACTTGTAATCTCTGAAACCAGAAATCCACGGTCTGTTTAACCTCCAGCCCTGGAGAACAGGAGAAAATCATCCACACTCTACTGAGTCTACGTTAACACTGAATCCAGGAAGGTGTGTGTGTGTGTGTGTGTGTGTGTGTGTGTGTGTGTGTGTGTGTGTATGTATAAACAGTTTATTGAAAACGTTTGCAGCCCGAAGGCTGAAAATATACATTGGACATAAATGACTTATTACATACATTGGTGGTTTAACAAAAGCCTTCATTAGAGAAAGGTGAAGGAATATACGGTGAGCATACAGATTAATGTTTACAGTGGTGGTCACGTAGATCATGTGAGCTGAGGTGTTGAACAGCAGACACGTAGTGTAGTAACTCCCTCACAGATGGCGTTATGAGGGGCATCGTGAGTACTAGTTCCCTCAGAGTGGTGTTATGAGGGCTTGACATGGTGTAGTAATTCCCTCATAGATGGTGTTACGAGGGCCTGATGATGTAATAGTTACCTCACAGATGGTATGAGGGGCCTGATGATGTAATTCCTCACAGATGGTGTTATGAGGGCCTGATGTGGTGTAATAATCCCTCACAGATGGTGTATGAGGTGCCTGATGTGGTGTAGTAATTCTCTCACAGATGGTGTTATGAGGGGCATCACATGGCGTAGTGATTCCCTCACAGATGGTGTTATGAGGAACTTCACATGATGCTGTAGCAACTCATTCACTAGGTGGTGTCGTAGCATCATGGGGACACCACGTGGTCAGTTGTCACAGGACTTCTCTCACTCAAGTGGGTAAGGTGAGGTCCCAGGCTTCTCTACCGTGTGTGTGTGTGTGTGTGTGTGTGTGAGCCACACACAGGGTGGTGAAATGCGTCTAGAGTGGGGCATTATGTTAGTGTCAAGGTGCAAACACTGCTTGCTCCCTCTCGCGTTCAGCTGCCCCTTTAGCCCTCTTGGCGAACAGGGAGAAGCATAAGGCTTCCCCTGCCAGTACACAGACTCCTCACCATCAAGACTCCTGCTGTGCCTCCTCGTGGCAACACTCGGTAACTGGGTGCTTCGTGGGCCCAGGCTAGATCAGCAGGGGATCTCGGAGTCGAAGTGGGCCCCAGAGGGACAGCATAAGCCCTCTGGCATGTGGACACATCCTGGCACCGACCAAACACCGCCCTGGTGCCTTATGGATTAACCTTGGCAGGTATAAGGCTACGGGAGTAAACCCCGACCGAAAAATCTTCGGTGGAGCCCCGCATCAGGCAGTCATACTTACAGAGCTCAAACAAGACCCGAACGGTGGTGTACGCGGAAGAGGTGACCACCATGGTAACTTAACGACTACACCAGCGGACGAAGGCAATGCCTGATGGACAGGCTACTAAGGCAAAACCCAGAAAACTGGGTTATCGACAGTCCATTGCAACTCTCCCTCTCCCCAGTCGTTTCAACACTGGATCAGGAAAAGGGAGAGCCAAGATGTGTGGTTGCAGCCTGCGCTCCTGCCTCACCACATAAATCAACTCACGCGCAGCCATCATCCAGTTCACATACCTCTCATCATCATCAAAACCCCTATATCCCGAAAGTCCTATGGCGACGGACGAGTGGTGACGGGGACAGAGAGATGACTGCCGGGGTCTATAGTAGGATCTCGGCAGCAGTGCAATCCTGTCCTGTCTGTGTGACTGAACAGCCCTTTCGAGGAGCCACTCTGCTCACCCCACATGGGAGGGGGGCTAGAAAAGGTGAGCTAAACATAGCTTGCCTAAAAACCCAACGCGACTGGGCAACCGCAGTAAGGTCATCCTTATGCGGTCAAAAACACAATTATAATCATAGATCCAAACAAAAACAAGCCATACAACCTCTTATGGTAACTGCATGGAATGTCAGGACCCTTCTGGATACTGGCACAAATGCGCATCCTGAAAGAAGAACTGCCTTTGTGGCAAAAGAGCTGGCTAGGTATAACATCGACATTGCAGCCATCAGTGAGTCCCGGGCTCCCAGATGAGGGCCAACTCACAGAACGGGGGTCTGGCTAGACCTTCTTCTGCAAGGTTAAGCCTGTTGCAGAGAGAAACCGCATTTATGGGGTTGGCTTCGCCATCCTCCAACGCATCCTACACAGACTAACTGAAATGCCTATTGGGATCAACGAGCGCCTCATGACGCTTCGAGTCCCACTGAATCACTCAAGTCATGCCTTCTTCATCAGTGCATACGCCCCAACACTGGATGCAGAGGATGACATCAAGGGGTCCTTTTACGCCGACCTCGACAGAGTGCTAACCTCTATCCTCAGAGAAGACAAGGTTGTGCTCCTTGGCGACTCCAATGCCAGAGTTGACAGCGATGCTAACATTTGCCAGGGAACTATAGGGAGAAATGGACAAGGCAAGTGTAATCCCAACTGCCTACTCCTCCTCAGCAAGTGTGCTGCACACAATCTCACTACCACCAATACCTTGTCTAGGGAGGCCGACAAGTTCAATGGTTCGTGCCAACACCCACGATCCAAACACTGGCATCTCATTGACCACATCATTGTCAGAGAAAGAGATCGCCGAGATGTCCTCATCACTAAGCGTCTGGAGGATCAGCGGACAATGCTTTCAGAGAGCAGCTCGAACATGGGATTATAAGCAATCCAACAGCAAACAACGTGAATACCAGTGCCGAATGGGATACTCATAATACTGTTATGACAAAAACCTGCAGAGAGACCCTCGGCCAGATCAAAAGAATACACCCGGACTGGTTTGATGAAAATGACCCGGCAATGAAAGTACTCATCGATGATAGACGTGCTGCTTTTGCTGACTGGCAGAACAGCCCTCAGTCTCGGACGAAAGGTGATACCTTTAGCAAGAAGAAAGCGGCAGCCCAGTGGGAACTTCTTAATCTAAAGAACGACTGGCTTAAAAATA